TTGAAGCATTGGCTATAGTCTCAGCTTAAAGGGGCCGTGCAACGATATTCAGTCAGTATATATTGCACTTTACATGAGCTTACTGGTACTAGTGGGACCCAAGTATAATCGCACAAAACGGCACTTACCAACTTTGTTGCGGTGTAATTTCAAGGACAAAAGCGAGCGTTTTCATTCAATCTCTCCTTCGTAAAACTTGGTGACATAGCTGAGGGGCTGCAGAACACCCCAGTCACCATATCTAAAGAGGGCTCAAAGATTGAACGCCAGCATTGCCTGAGCGCTTGATTTGTGCTCGTAATCAATAGCTCGACGAACATTCGTGTAGTAGCTCACCTCCAACTGCTGCAATGACGACAATAGCCGAACCATAACAATATCGAAACTCAGCACGTGTCCAAAGCTTCGCCAACCCCAGCGCCAACACAAACTATGATAAACATTGGTGGTTTGTAAACGGCTCCAGATCACTTTCCCGCTTGTTCTGCCTGCGAGATGAAGAGCTAAATGCTGCTCGTATTTTTTTTCTGCGTCTTTTTTTGTTTATGGTACAAAATGAACTCATCTTTCATAGGTCACTCTACACCTTGAGTAGAGCGTTGCTGGCTCTTATGTACGCTATAAGCAGTAGTATAGCCTACGCTAAAAACGACCAGCTCGTATCAATTTTAATTGTGTGCTACGTTACTGAGTGAATATCGCCCATGCTATTGTCGATTCAATATGCCAGAGCCGTCGAATTCCACGTACCTATGGCGCCAGCATACTCCTCAAAAGAAATATTAAAAAAATTAAAATGTTTCCAGTCGTTTTATTTTAAGTTAAAGCCAGCCACGGCTGCCTGTTTAAACGCACTTTTCTGGAAGGTACGGAGGATACGAGCACGAGTGAGTAGCCAAATTCGACCATGGAGCTTCTGTCAGCCGTCCCGTGGAAAGGGCACCCTCTATCAACGCTATCGCGGGAAGAAATGTATGACCTAGTGAGATCCAGTGCACAGCGAAAACGATTTTTTTAAGAGTCGTTCGTTCGTCTACGATCACCTGCGCGAAAAGGCTTAGCGTTGAGCAGATCGCAGCGTTCACGCACATGGCGAGCAATGAACATTTTCACTGAGCACTCCTTCAGCTGCAAGGAGACCTGACTCGACCGTTGTGTAGGTACCAGAAATAATTGCCAAGTTGAACACCACGCAAGTTCACGTAACACTGAACTTCGCGAACACCGCGCCGCCCTTGCTGCGCCAGTCGAGGTAACCGCCATCTTGAAACTGGTGCTCTTGCTGTGTTATGTGTAGGAATTACTAAGGTATGCCTAGTCTGGGGATTTCATGTTTAAGCAGACTAAGGGCGCTTGATCACTTTTATTGAAGGGAAAGAGTGGGTACACATAAAAATAGGTAGCCTTTTCGACTACCCACTAATCCATCAATCGGATCCCGGTGCACTGACGTGCCCTCGCTCTTTCATCTTCTCTCCCTCAGTTTCTTTCGGTGTAAATATATATATATATATTATTTCCTGGTACTCAACGCTATTAAACCTAGCGGAAGGGAGCGCTTTTCTCTTCTATGTAGCATTGACTGGGGGTGGGGGGAGGGGTAAATGTGGTAGCCAGCAAGTCTAATGATGCCCGTGGGATCCATCAATCGGCCGGCAAAGAGGCCCTAAATTATTTCCCCGCCCCTACCTCATAAAAGGTTTAGCACCCTTTGAGGTGCACCTCTCCTCACCACAGAGGTTTGTGAGCAGCTGTTTTCTGTAGTTCTCTTACATCCTTGCTCCGTACATCCGACCTCAAAAATTACACATACGTAATCGCTTTTTTGGCGCAACAGGCTCTGCTGTTAAAAATTACTGATAATTTTACTCATAGAAGTAACGCGAAAAATCTGTTTGTTTGCTGTGTTGATAAGTGGAACCGCTTTGATTTCTACCATCACTGGTTTTAACTCGTTAGGAATTCGGTCACTAACAATATTTGCAGTGATTCAAGGCCTTACTTGTGTCATAGTTGATTTCCTTAAGCTTACCCCACTATTTTGACATTCTGTTTTCTTTCCCCCTCGCTAATTCCTTCCGACCCTGATTGTCCATTCTAATAAAACATTAATGAATATTTTGGCTGCCCAATTAAAATATCATCCCACTTGCACCAATCTCTAATGCCTCAAATAAGCAGTTTAGAGTACAAGAACCTAGAGGGGAGGAGTAGGCTGGGTAAGGGGTGAAGGGGCCGGTGAACATATGTTGGTGCATTCAAGGGCAGTGCAAAAATATTCACATAAAATGCTTTTTTTTTTTTTTTTACTTTACACGAGCTTTGCGGCACTAGTTGGACCCAACTATACTCGCTCACAACGCCACTAACCAAGAACGGCTTTTTTCTTTTCTTCTTTTTTTTCGGTGTACTCTTTCCAGAGTAAAGGCGAGCTTTTTCTTCCTATCTCTCCTCCGGAAAACTTGATGACCTAGCTTGGAGGCCGCAATGTCGGCGCAGTCCCCCAGTGACACGATATTTGAATTCGGCTCATAGATTCGACCCAGTCGTTGCGTGAGCACTCCATATGGGCTCGTGATAATCAATAGCTCGGCAAACATTCAGATTGTGCTCGTACCCAATCGCTGCAATGACGACAATAAACAAACCATAACAATCTCCTAATAATGTCTAGAACTCAGCGCGTGTCCTGTGCTTTGCCGAACCCAGCGCTTGGCTATGATCAACATTGGCGGCATATAATCGGCTGCAGCTAAAATGGAAGAACGTTGTTCTCGCTGCGAGTTTTGTGGGGAAAGGGGGGAGAGAGAGAGAGAGAACATGAACTCTGCTCTTTTTTCAATTTTGTTTTCGATAACTCCTTTTGCATGGGGTGAAAAACGAACTCGCGTCTCATGGGTTATAAACGCCAGGAATTCGTTCTCAGCGGTATTTGCGCAAAGTGACAAACTTGTTGCACTGCCCATTGAATTAGAACTCGCTTTAGCCTTTCTTGCCAAGTGAATAAGCCTTTTTCAAAAGTGCGCGCCGCCTAGTAGCTGCTGCGCCAAAATAACCGAGTCGAACATTCTTTGAGCACGTACTATCGCGGACAATATGAACTGAAACAGCGCTCCGGCCGGCGCACAGTACTACCTGCGCCGCCTGTCGCCTTCCCCCGCACACACGGCGCACCTTGAGGATGAGATAAATTAACACTTGCGCTCGCTGCGCCACTGCGCTCTTCCGGCCATCTGCTGGCGAGACAGCAAGGAGGGGCGGGGAGGGGGAGGGGGGGGGGGGCAGAATAATACAGTTGTCGTCCCTATTTTGCAATTGTTTCACTTCATTCTACCATGTAGAATCACGTAGAAAAAACGCTTACTGGTGAAGACAAAATGTTGAGGTATCTTAAATTGTAGCTGCGACTATCGTTTTTGAAAGTCACACCAAATGACGTTGCAGATCGTTTTTGTTTGATTAAGTTTTGATTAAGTGCATGCACCAAGTAGAACATTGTAAAATGTGGGCTAAAATCTATATAACAGATTTAGGCCGGCTCGCAGGTATTTACTCTCTTTTTTTTTTTCATTGAGCACAGTTGCTTAAAAAAACAGTAACCCTACATGTTACTGCGAAGGTTTTGTAACCTTGAGGGGTATAAAAAGTTCAAAAATATTATTTCTTTATTACTGTGCCCACCGTGCTGGTTTCAAACAAAACAAGTTGCTGAAAAGACACCGGCGTTTTATCTACGAATTCCTTGTCTTAATAGAGTGCGACAAACAGTCATATATTTGTCAGGAGAAGGAGCTTAAAACGTCATCGACAGAATATCCGCAAAGGACAACATCAGACACAAAAGATTAATAGTCGGCGTGGAAGTTCAACTGCACTATACAAGAAGATTAGGATCATGGCTGCACCACACAAAAAGTATGCGCTGGTTAACGGTGTCGACCAGTGTGTCGCAACCGTGGCTACAAGCTTTGTTCCAATCGGCAGAAGTCCGGTTCAGGGGGTTCTAAGGTGCAGTAAAACTTACGAAAGAAGTTAATACCGCGCCCTTCTCCCCTAACCCGCGACTACGGCTCTCATCCTCTTTGAAAAGGAATCATGGAGCGCGGCGACGGAGTCTGCCTCGGCTCGAAGCCTCTCCCATTCACGTCTCACCGCTTCGCACAATTCGTCGTCAGTGACGTGGTAGAGGGGACGCCGTGACATGGCTACCTTGATGCGCCTCTAAACGTGTTCGATGATATTCAGACCGGTCCCTTTTGGGGGCCACGGCAGCTCCGTCAGGCAGCGCTCGTGACAACGCACTTTCCGAAGTGGAAAGTGCGTTGTTACGTTCCGAAGTGGAACGTGACAACGCACTTTACACTTCGGTGCTTTTTTGAAATGCACTGAAATGCATGTTAGCTGAAAACGTGAACATTGGGTTGCACGGCACACGCATTATGATGGTGGTTCCGTCGGCGAATATTTTCGCTAGCAGACGGCCGGAAATGCGCAGCGGCGCAGTGAGCTCAAGTCAGAATTTACCTCGAGTTCAGGGTGCCCAGTGTTTGCGAAGCGATACGATAGGCGGCGCAGGTAGTAACGTGCACAGGCCAAAGCACTGTTTCAGCTCATATTGTCCGCGATAGTACTCTGATCACGTATTAGACTCAAGAGCTACGTCAGCGTTCGGCTCGAATTCGGCTGAGCTCGGACATTGAAAACGGGTGCTTACGTCAGCATTTGACGTGGGCTCGGATTCAGTAACGCTTCATGTATTCAAGAAATGCTGACCGCCAAAATTCCTCGATATGCTCTTAAAAAAAGGGTCTCTTTGACATTCCTTGCACCCATAATCGCATCGAATCATTAAACGCTCGAGCAAGTGACACGCTTCCCACCAGGGACTTTGACAGCGTCGACGAAAGGATGCACGAAACGTGTAATATTTTAACGATCATGCACTGGATTCCTCGCCGAGGGTATTTGTGAAAATAAGCGCTTGCAATTCCCCCGCGCAGGCGTCATCGTGTTCGGCTCGGACCAAGAAGTGGCCGGCGTGATGCGCGCCGTGCGGCGCAACAATGCCACGGGCCACTTCTCGTGGATTGGCAGCGACGGCTGGAGCGCCCGCGCTGTGGTCTTCGAGGACCACGAGGCGCAAGTGGAGGGCACGCTGTCCGTCCAGCCGCAGGCGAGGAAGGTAGAGGGCTTCGACGACTACTTCCTCAGCCTCACGGTCGACAACAACCGACGGAATCCCTGGTTCACCGAGTTCTGGGAACATTTCTTCAAGTAAATTACGCTCTCTTTCTTTTTTTTTGTCGCGTCAATTACTTTTGTTCTTGTTTTAATAGCTTTAATTACACGTGACATAAAAATAATTTCATCGAGAAAAGTGTTTTTAGCGTACGAAAGAGCCTCTTGAAAGTCCGGTTCTTCTCAGCCAAACGCCCCGTTTGGCTGAGAAGTGTCCTCGCTTCTCTTTTCAACGACGTAGTAGCCGAAGGCCTATTTCAGAAAATCATATATATGTAGGAAGTGGCGTGTCAGTAAGAACTACTTAAGACATTAATGAAATATGTTTCTAAGCACCCGGTGATAAAATTAACACTTGGGCACTGAGAGGGACTAAACCGATGGTGAAGTCGGTGAAGGCTCGGATGAGTTTTAATGCCGGATAAGTTCTTCGACTTAGAGAGAGTGACAGCCTGGAGATCAGGAGTTTGGGATATGTGTGGTATGCGGTAATTTTCCTCTACACATACTTAAAATGCGTTTGAGAAGGACCCACCAAATAAAGAAACAGCTAAGAAAAAAAAAACTCGCATAAATGTGAACTAACTGTGAGCGTGCAGGCGAGTGTGCCGGCGAGCCACACCACAGTTTCAGGTGTTACATTATGATAAAAATGACGCGTCTTATGCACGCGAAGGAAGGACACGGCAAGCGCACATCAAAACAGGCCCTCGACTGATCGCTTGTAATACTCGAGCACTTTTTGTGATTGCCGTGATCGATGAGAGGTAGAAAGATAGACTTAAACGTTGGAAATGCAATTTATGCAAAGATGCAAGCATGGTGGACAAGAATGTCGAAAATAATCTGTGGAGAAGGGCAACAATAGGAACAGAGGAACAAATACCTAGTTGTGCTTGGAGATATACGTGTTTCTCTTCTGTCCCCCTTGTTTCCCTTCTCCAGGGATCATTTTCGTAAACTTTAAACGACATTTTTGGTTCGAAGTCATCTAGAAATGTGAGGAGCGCACCATTTTGCCATTCACGTCTTAGCTTCGACTGGAAATTCCAAATATGTATATGCATTTTTTTTTAAATATCGCTTTTTATCCAAATATGCCGTTCACACGATTAAAAGTTTTAAGACAACCCATGAAAATAATTTCTAATCGGTCGCAAGATAAAATGTGCCAATGCTGGGGTTATCAGTGGCCCTTTAGCTCTCTACACCTGCCGTCACTCTGCTCACACAGCATACAAAAAATAGTGTGTCCGCTGCGGACATGATGTCAACGTTATCTGCAGGGGCGCCGCGCCTCAAGTATATTTTGAAGCATGTTCGCTTTATACGTATGTATGCTTTGAACTTGTCTGCAAGACAGTTTTTTCGTGACCAATAGGACTAATAGGAACAAGAGATACGCCCCAGACAGTGTCCCCAGTCTGTCTTTTTGTATTATACGAATATTAGCAATTTGACCGCAGCTTAAACGGCACCCACTTCTTTCCCATCTGCCATTGTGAAAACAATTTTGGTAATGAGCGACCTCGTTTGGTACCCAAAAATATATATGAGTTTAAGAAAAGTACTCGGCGTCAACATTTTTATTTTTGTCCGACGTTGTCAAGACTAGCTTAGCGTTCACAGCGCACTATAGCCCCGCATCGAGAGCAATAATAAATAATAATAATAATAAATGATTTGGATTCACAGTGGCGTGTATCATTCGAACACGCTTTCGTGTGAAGGGGCTTTGACAGAGACAGGTATTTCTTTTCCTAGACACAATGGGAAACGCACGCTAGCCTTGACAGTGCAGCACAGGAGTTGACACCGAGTACCAGTGTTGTACGGAACGGCGTTCCAAAGAACGGCGTTCCTGGAACGCGTTCCTTTTAGGAGGAACGAAGGAACGCCGCCGTTCCATTTTGCATCGCTGAAACTGGAACGGGAACGCGTTACATTTTTACTGGAACGGAAGAAGTAACGGCGTTCCTTTTTTCGTCCAGTGGGGTAATTTTTATTTTATTTCTCACAGGGAAAGTATGAAAGTTGTGGTAGGGTTGCCTTGCTGCATGCCCATCCGGGAGGAACAACACGAAGCCGGGGTTTCTTAAACGAGAAACTACATTCATTAAAGTAACAGGAATGGATTGTTAGTATCAACGTAAAACATTGCCGGAGCGTTCGAACTGCACGCCTCCGTGGCCACGGTCCGTCTTCCTTCCCTGTGGGCGTGTCCCCCTCTTTTATACACTTGCGCGGCCGGACGTTTGCGCGGCCCAGATGTTTTTCACTCAGGGTGGTCAGTAGCGGCCTCTGGTGGTGGTGGCCGGACCTCGCTCCCACAAAGTACAAAAACAATATCTTTATGACGTGCAGGATCTCTTTAACTTTTTGGCTACTAATATTATGGATTATTTTGTGTGGTCCTCGCTTGCTAACAGTTTCGGGTGCAGGAGAGCTGGTGGGCAATGATACTTTTTTGAGTGCCCGGAACTGCGGTACGAAAAGCAAAACTTTTAGTCGTAGGAAAAGACAAAGAAAGACGGTTGTTTCAAACTCATCTACCTTTCTTTGGTTCCACAAATCCTCATACACCTAGAAATCTTATTCCCGACTACAGCCATTTTCGAACTTCAATAACGAGACCTACAATTACAACAAGATCACAAATCGCCAGATATCGGACTCATCCTTGTATCCCGAACATTATTCACTTAAAAGATACACACACAAAAAAAAAAACACCTTTATTTCTTCTCTTGTCCCCTACCTTCAAACTGAACAGCAAATCCAACCTTCACAACGAAGTATTTGTAGCTTTCAAAACTGACTTTCCAAAAGCCCTACCCTATCCTTCACTTGCTCGTTTTGCGGACAGCAACATCGAGAAGCAACTGTTAAGTTCTTACACAGGACTCCGTTAAATTGAAGCGTGCGAGGTTATTGAAAAACGCTCGTGCAATCTTGGGTAAAAGTACATTTGGCTCGTCTGAATTGTCCACTACAAACATGGACATGGTTAATAGCTGAGATTTATAACATGAATATATCAACAAATGAAATCCTACTTCCGCGTGTTTTCTACTCCTGGTGCCCTTCCATCACGACATAAAAACTCGTATGTGGACTATTAATGGGATAGATAGGAAAAAAAACTCTGCTTGATTTAACTAAATATGGTAATTAGCAAAAAATACAAATGTAACGTATATGTAACGATACGTTCCATTTTTTTAACTGTAACGGTAACGAGTTCCTTTTTCACAAATGGAACTTGTAACGGGAACGCGTTCCAAAAATCAGAAGGAACGAGGAACGAGCTTTCGTTCCTTTTTTTGAGGAACGTGTACAACACTGCCGAGTATGGTTACTCAGGCAGCACTACGTAGCAGGGTTCACTTGACAGACGTGTAAGGTTATTGAAAACTTTAGGATAACAGACACCGAGTACGGTTACTCAGGCAGCACTACGTAGCAGGGTTCACTTGACAGACGTGTAAGGTTATTGAAAACTTTAGGATAACAACCAGAAAAAAAAACAAAAAAACTAGAATGTTTTTTTTTTTATTATATTGTACTTTGCCCCTTAAATTTCAAGAGTTAACCGGTGGCTTTTATGTGTAATGTTATTACACAAGTATGTTTGGGTGGAACCCCACCTTACCGAAGCTGGCTCCATTAAGCTTATCTTTTAGTCTGTTGCGTGATACTTCGTTCACGCGGTAGGAAATTTGAGCTGCTTTTGACGGAATATTTTATACGAAACACTTTAGGTCGCAATATTATGTAAGGCCTGACACGATGCGTATACGCGTTCTTATCAAAAAAGAGAACGTTGTTTTTTTTTTTTTTTTTTTTTTAGGGGGGGGGGCAGCTTTAATATTTTTTGTTGTTTTACTCTACAATGTGCAGCATATTAAAATTAAAAAAAAACTTTCAGCCTTTCCCCTTTGGTGAAGAAGGACGACCAACGGAGCTGTACAATGAAAGTAATGGCCGGCCGCAAGTCGGCAAGCCAGAGTAGAAAGGCTGCTGCCATCTATGAGCGACGGCGGCAACCAGATACGTGGCTTGCCGCCGTCTCTCATAGATGGCGGTAGGTGTCCAGAGTGCGGTGTCTTCATTTCTTTGCGGGGGACACAATCCTGGGGAAACTAGCCCTTTACAGCTCCGCTGTAAAAATACATATAATTTCCATTGAACCCTTGCAGCGAGTGCAGGCACTCGGAAATGGCTTAACGTTTCTTACTGCTCCTAGTCTGTTTGGGAAAGACGATGCTGAAACATATGTTTCAGCATCGTCCTTCGCTAAGCCGCCTCTGCAAGTTGCGGTGATTGGCTCTCCGAGAGTTGTGCGGAAAAGTAGACGCACGGTCTTTTTTTAGAGTGTGGCACGAGTGCACTGCGCAGAAGGAACAATACGCGGAGTGGACGTCTCTGCGGAAATCAAGATTTGGGCATTCCGGGCTACGCTACGAAACCTAACACATTTAGATAACACTATCCGTCGAACATGAAAATACGACGTATACTTGCCTATCCGAGAGCACCGAGTCACGACTAAAAAAATACAAAGTAAGAACTTCTTAATGTCAAAATACAACCCAGAACAAGTTATATCGCGCTGAAAAGGGAACGGAACCGTCTGAATAATGTAGAGTGTACTATTGCTGGAACCACATTATCAGTATTGATAAGCTGATACGACGCAACATTAGTTTTGCGAAACCATTAAAAAATTGACTATCGACACTATGGATAGTTTTTTTTCCCCAAAACTATCGATAGTGTCGAAAACTATCGATAGTGGAATATCTATAGTTGGTCATCGATAGTATCGTTGATAGCTTATTATCGACAGCTGACTATCGATAGTACTATTGATAGTACTATCGATAGTTGGCATTTCGTCGACTATCGATACTATCGAAAATCAGCATTCAGAAGGCTATCGAGTATTAGGAAAATAAAATCACTAGCCAAGAAGAAACTGACGACGGATATCTACAGGCAGGCAAAGTGCAGTTGTGGTTAAAGCATGAAATTGC